TTCCCTGGGTCTCCAGCCTGACAACAGATTTTGGACTTGCCAAACCTCTATAATTGTATGAGCCAATTCCTTAAAATAAATTATCTATCTATCCATCCATCAACTACCTACCTAACCTATCTATCCATCCATCCATACATCCTGTTGGCTCTGTTTATCTGGGGTACCTCAAGTAATACAGGTAACTCGGGGGATGGCCAAGGGTTGTGGGCTCTGTGTGGCTCTGAAGTTCAAGCAAGAGGAAACCTTCTAGATGTTCCCATTCAGTGGTTTTCAAACTTTCATGCAGATGGACTCTTAAGTGGAACCTCAGTGATCTTGGTTAACTTTTACTAAAAGCTTGTTCTGAGCCCTTTATGTGTACATATTATCTCATTTAACCCCCAAAGTAACCTGAGGAGGGAGGTGTGCTATGTGTCTCATTTTAAAGGAAAGGTGCCTGAGGCTTGTACAGGTGACACACTCTGCTCAAGTTCTTACTAGTAAGGGGCAGAGCTGGGATATGAATCTGGGACGTCGGGGCTAAGTGCAAGACCACCATCCATCCTGCCTCCTGATATATTTAACTCCTAAAACCAGAATTGTTCTGATCAAAGTGGGCAGGGGTTCCAGAGTCCCAACCCCTCAAGCCTTTCCCCTTAGGTTTCTCCTTTTTCCTACCTTCTCAGGCCCCTGAATCACCTCAGAAAAAAACCTTACAGTTCCTCTGGATGACAGTTTAGAGCTTCTGATCTTAGTCCAATCCATCCTTTAGAGAAATGGGAAAGCCAGGCCCAGAGAGGTTAAGTTTCTCACCCAAGTTCACACAGCTGGGCCATAGCAAGCCAGCTCTAGAACCCAGGGTCTTCCCACTCTACTAGGCTGACTCCAAAAAGGTCCTCAGACAGAGGGTAGAAGCTGGGATCCCCAGTGAAGTAACAGAGGACAAAGAGCTCCCTGAAACAAGGTTTCCCCAAGTTCAACCAGTAAGGGCTTCTGGGTAGTTTTGTCCCATTGAGAGCCTAATTCTCTTTCCCAAGTGCATCCCACACTGGGGAAACTGCAGGCGACTTCCCTACCTTCCAGGCGGATCAGAGGCATTGAGAAGGGAAGTAGTCAAAGCCTAGCCCCCAAATCCAGGCCCAGATGGCAGCCCTTGGGCTCTTGATCTGGCATTCTGGTTTCTTCCCTTGGGTTTCAGTGTAGCAGAAGGCTAGGGCCCTTTGGCAAAGCTCTAGACTCCCTAGAGCACCGCTCCAAGAATCTGTGGGAAACCCACTGTTTGAACGAAGGAACTCTTATAAATCCCTCAAGACGCAGCCTACATATGCCTTTCCTGATGAAGCCTGACAGGAAAATCTCCGCTAAGTCAGAGATGACCTTTCACACACACCTCCGTGTCAGCTTTGCCACCACGTTCTATGACTGTCTGATGGTATGTCTGTCTTCCCAGGTCAGGGCCTGAGTCTTGGCACCAGTACCTGGCACCGCATCCAGCCCAGAGGGGGCTCAGTTCACGATCATCAGATGGATGCACATGTGTATGCAGGAGGTGAAGTGGCAGCCTCCACTGGCCGAGTTATCAAGCCTTTACAGACTCCAACGAGGGAGTTTTCCAGACCGCCCCCCCACCCCCGTCTGGGCCTCAGTGAGCATTCCTGGTCCAGCCCCTTCTCCATAGTTGAGGAAACTGAGTCCTGAGCGGTGACATGATTTATCTGAGGTCGCACAGCCTGTGAGTGGCAGGGCCAGAGATAGGACCCCTAACAAAGGCCCGGGGCCTCCTCTCCCCGCATTGTCTCATCCGTCTGTCTCCCCCACACGGAGCCTTAGTCCCTAATGCTGGCGTTCATGTTATAGCCACACACAGAACCTCCGTGTTCCTCACAATCACCACCCCCCAGGGACGCAGGACAGGGTTTATTGTTAGCTGCATGGGGCACAGGAGGAGACAGGCTCAGCGAAGGAGAAGACCGGTAGCTGTCTCACGGGACCTCTTGGCCTGTTTATCAGTCACACTTATGCCCAAATGTCCCGCCACCTTCGTTCACTGTCTGCACGGTCCATCTTTGAGTCTCCCAGACCAGGCCCTGGGCTCTTTGACTCCTCTCCCCACCCCGGTCTCCCACCCTGCCCCCTCCAGCCACATTACATTAAACAGTGAAATGCGGGAAGGCGGGGAGCAGAAAATTGTCCGAGCTACAGAGCAGGTCAGACAGAGGGAGAAAGACAAGTGGCCCAGTTTCTGTAGATCTAGGAAAGTGTCCTCACCGCCCCTGCCTGCAGGAATTCCCTCAGCACTGCAAGCCCCGTGGAGACTGAACTCACAGCCTTGATGTTCCATACACCCTGTCCCCCATCCCCCCAGGCACAAATCCAGAGGGTGTCCATGCTGTAACCCCAGACTTGAAGCCTGGAAAAGGAACCAGAGAGCACAGCAAACCCTGGGCTTGGCGAACAAAACATGACCTGGATTTTAGTCCACAATCACCCCCTTCGCCAGGGAGCAACAACCCATACCTGGTGGCCCTGGATGGATGGATGGATGGATGGATGGATGGATGGATGGTTAAGGGCATCTATCCATCTGGTGCCACCTCCTGGTTCCAAAGCACAGAGAGGTGGCGGCTCATTGCTGCATCTCCCACCAGTAAGCCCAGTGGCCCCAACCCTGACCTCAGGCCTGGTGACCCCGACGATCTTGCTGAGAAGGCACACCATAGCCTGTAGAGCTGGGAGTCTTCAATCCTCCCTTGCTGCCCCCCTCCACCCGGCCCAGCCCTTCCATGGCCCAGTCCTGACACCTAGTGGTGCCTTTGGACTTCAGTCCTGGCTTTCTTCCCACTTCTCAATAACTCATTCAGAGCTGCCAAACCAGCCCGGCAGCCCACTGGCCACCTGACCTCCACTCTGGTTCACACCAGCAGGGCCAGGCTCCAAACCAGGGAAAACCCGTGTCTCACCTTGGGAGCCTTCCATTCCCAGGGGGTCACATCCCCTCCTCAACCCAGGCCCTCAAGCCAGGTCAACTGGGGAACCCAGGACCACAGACCATCACAGAACATGTGGCCACAGATGTGCCCAAGGTCCCACAGTGAGTGCTGGGACTTCCTTCTACCCCACCCCCGTGCTGCCTCTGGCAGTTACTGGGGTGAAGGGAAGGCACGCTGGGGAAGGAAGGGAGGCACTGGGGGGAGGCTCAGGGGCTAACTTCAGCAGGTTCATGGGGCGGGGTCAGGTGGGGCCGTGACCCCACGCCCAGCAATTCGGGCCTGACTCCTCCCAGCTCGCACCCTGACCCACCACCCGTCCCAGCCAGACCTTTTGGGAGGAGCGTGTCATCATGCGGCGGATTTGGGTACTGCAGAAGTCCCTGTTGGCCACTTAAACTCCGTCTGGGTATGCCAGCTCTTCAGTGAAGGACAATTAACCTCCACCCTTTGTCCAGAGCAGGACGTGCCTAGAATATCCTCCACACGCACATTCGCACACACTCACATGCTCCCATCCACATCCACTCCCCACTACATCATGCCGCTGAAAGTCCTTGTCTAGGAAGACTTCCCTCCCCCAGAGAGCACACCCCCTGACAGCCCCACTGGGACCCAGCCAGCTGTGTGCCTTAGCAAGAGTCTTAACGACTCTGCGCCCCAGTTTCCTCCTTTTCTCCTCTGTAAAGTGAGGGTGACACAGGCATGCCCCTCCCCATGCTGTGAGCACTGCAGGAGAGCCATGTGAGCGCTTTGATATGAAGTGCTTTGATGATTACTCCTTAGGCTCTCTTCCCAGCCCCACGGAGACTTGGGCAGGGGAGAGGGGAGGAGAGCGGAGTCCAGGTAGAGCCACGTGAGTCAAGGCCCAGGGCAACAGAGAGCCCGGCCCCTTTGGCATGTTTGACACACTTGGCCTACGTGAGAGCCGAGCCGGGTGCAACCAGGCTGAGTATGGACTTGGGGGACAGGGGTAGATGGGTCAGAGAGCTGGCAAGGGGTGGAGGCCAGGCCTCACAGCCACAGGGAGGGGGCGGTGCTCTGTCTTGAGGGCAGGGGGCGCTCCCAAGGCTGTACCCAGGGAACGGCCAAACTAGGTGTGCAGGGAGTCCCGCTGGGAGCTGGTGAGGACGGTGGATCTGAGGGGGTGGGTCAGGAGGCAAAGGATCTACAGTCAGCCCTCCAGGCAAGAGGAGCCAGCAGCCTGAATTGGCTGTGGAGAAGCTCAGGGACTCAAACTATATTGGGGGGCCCTGGCGATTGACGGGACGTGGGGGGCTGGGAGAAGAAGGCAGCTGGTGGAGCAGCTGGGTGGGGGGATGATGTCAGCCCCTGAGATTAGGCACAGGGGCCTCCTGCTGATTTTACTGTGTGACCTGGGGCAAGACACCAACTTCTCTGGCAGCAGGGACAAGCAAACCCCAGTCCTGGTGAGAAGCACATGAGAACAGTGATTGAAAAAGCCCAGCAGCCGCCAGGTCCTCCCTCCAGTCTGATCTGGGGCCTCTTAAACTCACCCCTAAATGTGGTGTCTTTCCCAGTGCCAGTCACACGCCACCCACACACCTTCCGCGTGCCCTCCACATGCCAATCACAGGACCTCCTGTCACATGTCACCCATGTGACCACCACACAGCACCCACTCACCTTCCACACGCCCCATCCACATGCCAACTACATGACATCCACGGGCCACCACGCCCCACTCATACACCCTCCACACGCCATCCACACACTCAGTACATGCCAACCACAGACGATCCACACACCACAAACCACTAGGTGTACACCTTCCACATGCCTTCTTCATATCATCCACACACAAGCTACATGCCATCTCCATGCCACCCACCACCTGCCATGTACCATCCACACACACCCACGAGCTTGCCATCTGGTGTGCTCAGCATCGACCCCCACGTGAGAACCTGGCCCCAGGCCAGGACCCGAAGGACATCCGCCCAGGTCCCAGGCCACCTCCTCCCCACCACGACGTGCTCCCCATCTCCCGTAGCCTGACCAGCTACTCACCTTTGCAGGTGCAACCCTCCCGGGTGATGACCTGACGGCAGATACCACAGGGCTTCCCCTTCTTGAAGGTCTTCACCTTGAAGTGGTGAGTCTTGGGGGCCTCCAGATCTTCTGGCTGTGGGGGGAGAGGCACAGTGATCAGGCCTGGGCAGAAGGCTGGGGAAGGAGCTGGGGGGACTCGGGGAGAAGTGGGCCAGAACTGAGGAAAATGAGGGGTGAGAGCCCCTTCAGGGGTGACAGGCCTGAGCCCCCATTTCTGGGAGGAGGTGCCCCAGGAAAGAGAGCTGAGTGTGACCCAGACTCCAACACTTAGGTGGGTCAGCACACTGGGACACTGATTTTAAATGGCTTACTCAATAACAATTTTCCACACATACACCATGTCACCACACCCCCGTGGGCTCACCCATGGCTGTCCCAGTCGATATCCCCCTAAGGTAAATACTATTGTGACTTTTTTTTTTTTTTTAAGATTTTATTTATTTATTTTATTTATGGGGGTTTCAAGAGGGGGAGGGGCAAAGGGAGAGAAAGAGAGAGAGAGAATCCCAAGCAGACTGCGCTGAGCACAGAGCTCGATGTGGGGCTCAATCCCAATCCCTGGGCCAAAATCGAGAGTTAGACACGGGGCGCCTGGGTGGCTCAGTCGGTTAAGCGTCTGCCTTCGGCTCAGGTCATGATCCCAGAGTCCCGGGATCGAGTCACACATCGGGCTCCCTGCTCCGTGGGAAGCCTGCTTCTCCCTCTCCCTCTGCTGTTCCCCCTGCTTGTGTTCCCTCTCTCATTGTGTCTCTCTCTGTCAAACAAATAAATAAAATCTTTTAAAAATTTTTTTAAAAAGAAAAATAAATAAATGAGTAAATAATAAATAATAAACTAGCCCACCACACACATGAGATGAGAGGTGGGCGGGCGGTCCAAGCCTTCTCTGGGTCTGACCGGCTGTGAGCCCCTGGGCCAGTCACCGCCCACCGCTACCACAGGCCTCAGTTTCCCAGTCTGGACAGCGCGAGGTTGGGCCCCACGCCCTCCAGCCCCGACAGTCTGTCCTTGGTAACCGCGTACAGGAACACACTCTAAGCCGCAAAGCCCTGCCCCCACACGGCTTAGGACCCCCTCCTCCTATCTGCAGCCCTCAGCCCAGGCACAGGCTGGGGGAGCTCCCCGTTTGGAGAACGCCCCAGGAAGCCATCCCTGCTCGAAGGCACCACGCCTCTCCAAGGCACCTCACCCGGGCTTCCAACCCAACTCATTTCCCGGCTTCGGCGGCAGGGGCCAGCAGCGTGCAGACATTGGCCGCTCCCTTGCTCTCACCCTCTCCCAGGCACAGAGCTTCCTGACCCCCCTCTACACACATAGCCATACACAGAGACACCGGTGATGACAGACCCTGCAGTCCCGGGGGAGGGTTCTTCCCTTCCAAGTGTCTCTCCTTGGACCCTGCTCCAGAGCCTCTGGGACAGGGGCTGGAGGGGGCGGCTTGTGTGTTCAGAGGAGGAAGGGAGGCAGCCTCCCACAAACCCAGCCTCCTCTCGGAAGACACTGCAGTGGTGAGTCCTGGGGCAGAGAGAGGCTGAACCACAAGAGACACAGAGAGAAAAACCAACAGAATGAGAGAGACACGGAAAGCCAGAGAGACAAAGAGGCAAAGAGATAGAGAGGGAGAGAGAGACAGAAACAGAAAGAATCAGAGAGACAGAGAAAGAGGGAGAAAAGCAACAGAGTCAGAGAGGGAGAAAAGACCCAGATAAGGCAGAGGCAAATAAAGGCAGAGACGAACCAGCACACACAGAGAATAAGCGAAATTAGACAGAAACACATAGAGACTATAAAGGCAACCAGAGAATCGAAGGGGCAGACAGACAAAAGGACAGAGGCGCCAGCTTGAATGGGCCCCCAAAGGCTAAACCTGGGCTGATTTGAGCATCACAATACAGAATGATAGTAGTGGCTTGAATGAGTCCAGGCCAACATGTGAACTAAGTGAAAAAATTCAAAGTGTGATGAGAAAGAGAAGATTCACAAATCTCAAAGCACCTCGCCATGCCATGCTTCTAAATTACAAAAGGGAAAAAAGTAACTTTGCCTGGCAGACTACTCGTTAATCAAGGGATCAAAGCAAACAAGACCGGTAATGGGATGAATGGAAATCGTGCACCACAGAGGGGATGCTCGGAGAACGGAACACCACGTCTGCCATGTTCCTGCCAAAGAGACACAAGCTGAATCTAATCATGAGGAAACATCAGACCAACCCAAATCGAGGCACAGTCTACCAATTAAACGGCTTGTGATCATCAAAAGTGACAAGGTCACAGAAGTCAAGGGAAGACTGAGATTTCCAGACCAATGGAGTCTAAAGAGATACAACAGTCAAATGCAGGGGCTGACCTGGAACTGGATTCTTCCCGTGCCCATAAAGGACATCATCGGGACAACTGGCCACACCTCAGTGGGGTCTGAGGACAAGACGGTAGCCATGTGTCAATGTCAGGTCCCTGACTTTGATGGCTGGGTTGGGTTAGGTAGGAGAAAGTCCTCGTAGGAAAATTAGGAAAGCATGTAGGGGTGGTAGGGCACTGTGTCAGCAACTCGCTCGCAAACAGCTCAGGAAAACAAGTTCTTTGCACTGTATTTGCAACATTTCTGAAGTCTGAGACTGGCTCAAAATTCAGAGACAGGCAGGCAGAGATGACAGGGAGGCAGGACGGAGCAGAGACAAAGCCCAGGGCAGAGGTGGAGAGAGCAGAGGGCCATGGAGCTGGGAGCCCAGCACTGCCCCCTGGTGGCTAAACCAGGCAGCAGGGCCTGGGTCCTGCTAGTCCAGAGTGTTATGTTCTAGGAGCTGTGCTTCCAGCTTCCACTGAGGGTGGAGGCAGGGGCCGGGGCAGGGCACTGTCCTGCACTAGACCTCACTCAGTGTCCCCCAGCCCACCAGGAGGGGCAGGTGAGCCCCCTCCATTCTGAAGTCTCACCTCCCCCATTTGCCCTTCTCAGCCCCTGGCGGGCAGCCTTCCAGATAATCTCTGTCATAGACATTCCAGGGAGGGGGCCCAGCCCAAAGTCAACTGCAGCAGCCCAGCCCTGGGCTGGGGAGAGGTGCAGGAAGGGGACTTGGGGTTCAATTTAAGGCCTGTCTGGGGAGGCAGGCAGGAAGCCCTAAAGCCCAAACTTCTCGGGCCTACTCCAGCCATCCCCCAAGCCTGCCTCTCCCGCCCTGTGGAGTCAAGCTGAGCTCCCCATTCCAGCTTATCCCCTAGACTTCTCCGTCTATACCTCAAATCCAGCTCTTCACCCAAAGCCCACGGAAGGTGGCCTTCTCCCCAAAGTACAGTTGGAGCAGTGGAATCTCCCAAAAGAGGCTCCTGGCTGCCCAATGAACAGATGGGGAGCAGGCAGAGCCTACTAGGCTGACAAGCAAACGCCCAGGCTTCTCCCCTGGGCCCTGGGCTTGCCTGCCCTGCCTGCACAAACTCATAAACGTGAGTTTACAAACTCTCTCCCCGCACGGGCGTGGGGAGCAGGAACAGGGTTTCAGATACATTCTCTGGCCTCACTCATGGCCTCTGGAAGCAGCTTATGGGCCAAGGCCCTGCCCTTCCCCCCCACCTCATTCTGGCTCTCTGGCTGAAGGAGCATTGGGATGGGAGTCTAGAGGCCCGCTCTCTAGGCTGGTGACCCTGAGAACATCAGTGGCCTTCTCTGGGCCTCACAGTCCCCAAATGAAAATGGTTTGGACAAGATAGTCTGAGTATAGAAAGAGCAGGGGAACCAATAGGCCAGTTTGAGATGAAGGGGCTGGAGGAACTGGGGGGTGGGACATGCTCACGGTTACAGAGAGGGGTGCCCAATGAGATATCACCCCTCCAGGAGAGGCTGCGGGACCCACGTGGGAGTGAGGAGGCCAGCACCCCCAGGCAAGTGGCCCTAGGCTGTGACCTCCTCTGCAACATAGGCTTGCCCAGCTATAAAACGGTGTCTGGCAATGTCGTTGAAAGAGTCACCCACAGAGGTCTGAAGGTCCCAGTTTGCAGGAGGAGAAAGTCTAGGGTGGGTGAGCCTTAGATCTTCAAATAACTTGAGGGGCTATCATTGTAAGAATGGACCAGACCTGATCTATGAAGTTATTGAAGGCAAAACAAAACTCGGGGCAGAAGCCACAAGGATGCATGATTAGACGCAAGGGGGTACAAGAGTTTCCCACCAACCAGCCATAGGTTAAATTCCAGCAGAAGAAACCTGGGGGTCTAGAACCCACACTGCCCTCACCCAGGGTTACTCTGCAGATATGTGCAGAGGATGTGAACGAGCCCATGAATGCAAAGCTCTGCTCGGGGGTAACCACTTGTTAGGACAATGCTCATCATTTTTCCTGACAAGTGCCAGACAGCCTCACAAAGCACTCCCCCACCCTTCCTAGCTGGATTAGCTCCTGGAGGACCTGGGGGCCCCGGGGGGGGGTGGGGGCGCCAAGGAGGCGCAGCCACAGCGGGAGCTGCCTGGTGTCTCCAACACCCACCTCCCTGAAAAGCCAGAGTCCAGAGAAGGGAAGGGGTCCTAGCCGGAAAGTCATTCCTCCCCACCCTCCAAGCCCAGAGCCCGAGCCCTGTGATAAGCCCACCCACCCAGCATCAGAGGGCTTTCCTGGGCCTCAGGGGGATCCTCTCCTTCCCACCCTCCATTCAGCCAAGACTGCCTGCCAGATAGTTCCAGCCAGAGGGGCGTGGCACATCTGGCTAGGACAGCTTTGGCGGGAGTCCTGGGCCCTGGGGTGGGAAAGGCTGTTTGTTGGTCCCTCCCTGCCCCATGGGGGCTGAGTGTGGTGGGGGTAGGGAATGAAAGGGGACTGACAGCCCTAGGGGTCCTCCAGCTCAGGCCTCCAGACCCCTCCACAAGAAACTCCCCCCAGCCCTGCTCCCACTCGGCTCCCTCTGCCCACACTAGGAGCCCCGGATGATGTGGCCCGTTAGGGCAGAAGTCTGCGGGCCAGTGAGCCTTGGGGAAGAAAGTCACCAAAAAGCAGGCCCTGGAGAGTCAGCAGGCCCTCTCCCGGCCTCCTGGCCATCCACCCCTCCACGCCTTGTCTTCTTGGGTGGAGACACCAGGACATGGTTG